CTTCCTTCCTTCCTTCCTTCCTTCCTTCCTTTCTTCCTTCCTTCCTTCCTTCCTTCCTCTCTCTTCCTCTCTCTTTTTTCTTTCTTTCTTCCTTTCTTCCTTTCTTTCTTTCTTTCTTTCTTTCTTTCTTTCTTTCTTTCTTTCTTTCTTTCTTTCTTTCTTTCTTTCTTTCTTGTCTTGTTAGAGGGACTTCGCAGAGCTTGGAGGGGGCCAAGTAAAACTAAACTCAAAGCCACCTCTTCTTTCCCATCATTTTATTATTATTAGTTTTCTTTAAAAATCCTCAAAAAAATACCCTTTTCAGATCACGGCAAACTCCCCAGGAAGAAGGGAGAACAGAAACGAGGAGACTTATTTTTCAGCGAGCCCCTTCCCCTATTTTTTTGTCCATTGGAAACCGGCCCTCCTTACCCTCCCCACTTAGGGTTGAACCCCCTACAATTCCCCCCCCCTTCCTGGGCTCCTTTCTTGTGGGGGAAGGGTGGAAGAGTCATGCCTGCCTATTCAGAAACAGCCCCCTACCCCTTTTATCCAGGAAGGACAAGGAGGAGGAAAACTTCCCCCAAATCTACAATTTCACTTACCGAGTTCCTTCAATCCGACCTATTATTTCTCCTTTGATTTGCCCCAGTTCGAACCTGGCTACAGAACACATTAAAGTGGGGTGGGGGAAAAAATAATCTAGGCTGAGATCTGCTTCTCTATAACTCTCCTTCTCGCTGTCCTTTAGCTTGTGGTGGCACCCCACTTAATTCGGATTTGCCCCATAGCTCCAGGCCTCTCTTGGACAGAGATTCTGGAGGCTGCCTAGAAGTCGTGGTAGCCCGTATAAAGCCACAGATTCATCACAAACTAGAAAGAAATAGAAGAATAACAGAATAACGCAGTTGGAAGGGGCCTTAGAGGTCCTCTAGTCCACCCCCCACCCCCTGCTCAAGCAGGAAACTCCACCCCATTCTGGATAAACGGGCTGCCCAGCCTCCGTGTCCTGAAAAACCTCCGGTGTTGGAGCAGCCACAACTTCTGAAGGCAAGACAATTCTGAGCCAGAAATCTTTTCATTGGGAGCCTCTCGGCCTTTGGCTACCAGGGAATCTTCTCCTGATCGATGGGGGAAAGAAGGGAGGCCTCGGTGGTGGTGGTGATTCCATGGCTAGTAATCCTTGAAAGAGATTCTGGATTGGGGGGGGGGGGAGGTCATTCTTCCTCGATTGCTCCAGATGCTGCTACATGAAGGTGAGCCTGGAAGAGTTTGGGGTGGTTTTCTTGGCCCCTATGAAGGCTCAGGTGATTGACAGCGACATCTAGACAGTTCAGTTCTCTCTCTCTCTCTCTCTCTCTCTCTCTCTCTCTCTCTCTCTCTCCCCCCACGCGTTTCTGGCCCCAACTGGAAGACTGTGACCCCCCCACACACCTCCTAGACAATGTTGTCAGGATCCATCTACTTCCAGGCAGCTAGGAATGAAAGTCCAATCTTGGAACGTGGCTAGACTAACCTATCCCGTGACCCATCGAAGCTAGAGAGAGCCACGGATTCCCCAACTCTCCAGCAAACCCATGGAGAAGGTGGTGGGTGGTGGAGGGGGGCACCGCTGGGGTGGGGGCCATAAAGAATCTTTAAAGAAAGAAAGCCTTTTTCCCACATGGGAAAGACTTGGGGTCTGACCCTCACAGCATCTCCATGGGGGGAGGGGGAAGAGTGGAAGAGGCTATTTAGGAAAAGCCTTTACCTCCAGGTGCACTAGCACTGATGATGTTACCTAGTTGGGTCATGAAATGTCTGCAAGAACACCAGGTTCAGAAAGCACCAAGGACGCCCCAGTCTTCCTTCTCCCCCCACAGACACTACCGTAAGCCGCTCAACTCAGAGAGGATTGAAGACCCTACACTCCTCCTCCTCTTCTCCTCCTCTCCTCCCCCTCCCCTCCTCCTCCTCTTTCTCTAAACCCTACTCCCTTCTAGCACTGATAATGTTACCTAGTTGGACCATGAAATGTTTGCAAGAAAACCACTAAACTAAAGAGAGCCCACAGTTCAACCCTGAGCTACAAATATGATCCTTTATTGGGTATCCAGACATTCGGCAAACTTCTAACTTAGGCTGCAGTGACTGTGCAATTGTTAACATGCATGTGATATTCTGTGCTTTTCACCTCTTTTACGGCCACATTCTTTTGGCCGTCTTCTTTTTGGTCCAATCTTTCTGGGATTCTACAAGAAGACCTCTCCTTTGAGTAACTCTCCCCTGTGGGCTCCTCTTGGCTGTACAGGTAGACCTTGACTTACAACCAGCCACCTCGTGACCCTTCAAAAAGGGACTGTCCTCACACTTATGACCATGATTACAGCATCCCCGTGGTCACACAATCAAAATCCGGGTCCTGGCAACTGGCGTGTATTTATGATCGCAACCTGCCGGGCCCAGCTTTGGACTGGCAAAGTCCATGGGGGAAAATCAGATCTGCTTAAAGACCGTGTGCTTCTCTTAATGACGGCCGTGCTTTGCTTAACGGCTGTGGCAAAGAAAAAAGTTGTAAAATCAAGCACGGCTTGCTTAACAACCGCTTTGCTCTGGAAGGGAGCAAAGTTGTGCCCTAGTTACAATCATAAGTTGATCTGCTGTAGCCCATTCCCTTGGCAGTGTTGTGGCCCGCCAGCGGTCAGCGGAGCTGGCGGCAGGTTCGGAGAGTGAGGAGGTTGCGGAGGAACATGGGCCAGTCCTAGAGGCTGGGGAAGGCTCTGATGAGGGCTCTGCATCAGAGGCAGAGATGGGGCCAGGGCCATCTGACAGTTATCAGCTGCCTTCGGAGTCAGAGATCAGTAGGGAAGAAGAACAGCTGGAGCCTGTTCCCAGTGTGCTCATGCACAGAGCTGCCAGGAGAAGGGAACAGTTAAGGAACAAGGGTTGACTCGGGAGTAAAGGCACAGGTGGACATTGAATGGCCCCTCCCATAGGGAATAAAAAAGGAGTGAAAGGGGCTTTTGCAGGAGACAGTTAGTTCAATTCATTAGGGTGAAGATTTCTTCATGACTCTCAGAGACTCCTTGCCAAGTATTTTTTTTGTACAGCGTCGGAAGCTACCGGTCTGGCAGCTCTCCAAGCCTGATAAGGTCTGTGGTTGCAATTCACCCTTGAAAGACTGTTGGCCGGGACTTCGCTGGATGTGAATGATATATGAATTCACATTAGCCTAATAAAAAAGGGGGTTTTGTCGGGATGAGGCAACCGCTTCGTGATTTTTGTTAAGCCTAGGTCAGAACAGGCACATTGTTTCACTGAGTTCAGGACTTAGGGCTGGAGAAAGACACAGATATGGGGCCAATACTTAGGGGTACCCTTGTGGGATACCTTGCCCTTTGCACGTGGGTGAAATAAAAGAATCCCTATTGGATTGCGGTGTTCCCCGGTGTTTACTAGGTGTAGCAAGAGCTGGGAAGTCCATCCTGCTGGCTTGGTGCTGTCTGTATCTCCTACCACATGGAGGTCCTCCTTCTGGAAACACTGTGTGAATAAGTACAAAACAGGTGTGCGCGCGTCCCAATGTTTATCTCATGCCTATTACGACATCTGCTTGCTTAAGAATTGAACATCAAATGCAGAACATTGATTTGGGGCAGTGGTGGCTTTGGGGTTTACGGTTGTGGCTGGATGTGAGGGAAAAGATCTCCTTCTCCTGCAAGTACCCCGTTTCCCTGAAAATACGACCTGCCCTGAAAGTAAGTCCTAGCTTGATTTTTACACGTGCACCCAATATAAGCCCTACCCCTCAAAATAAGCCCTAATTAAGATTCCCGCCCACTCCAGAGTGGACGGGTAAAAATTAAGCTAGGGTGAGGATGGGGGTGTGCGGAGCTACCCTACTACTTACCAGTTGTAGCCAGGCCTCCCACATCCTGATACCTGCCTTGCCCGCCCGTTTCTTCTACAGCCGGCAAGGCTGGCAAGGCTTTCCCGAAGGCCTCTGTAGCTGATGACAAAGCTCTGGATCGATCCAGAACTCTCTTATCGGCTGCAGGAAAGGCCTTCAGGAAAGCCTTGCCGGCTGCAGAAGAAGTTCCTGAAAGCCACTGATAGCGAAAAGGAGGCCGGGGGCCACACGTGCAAGTGAGGTTAGTCAGTGGAGGACATTCCCCCGAAAATAAGACCTGGTGCCTTTTTTTTTGTGGCAAAAGAAATAGAAGACAGGATCTTATTTTGGGGGGGAAATACAATATTTACATCAACTGAAGGAGACAAAATTGCCCATTTGCTACCTGGTCTATCCTTCCCACATTTTAGTGAAACATTTCTAGCTCAGCTCCTAGGCCGTTGCATTAGTTTAATCCATCTTCTTGGACTTGTCAAATCTTGATTGGGTGGCACCAAGACTCCTTGCCCGCATCCTTAAAACTTGCATGGCCTTTTCCTTGTTTCAGACACACACACACACACACACATACACAAAACACACACCCTGGAAAATTCACCGCTCCTCTCTCGTGCCACCGTCCCTAGGGAGTGTTTATGAACATTGTGTGACACAGCGGCGTCAGCTGCCTGCGGGCCAAAGAAACATCTTGATTTGAGCCACCGACAAAGATCATCTTCACTAATCTGGCTCCAAATCGGCGTGCATGCAGCCCCCGCGCTGGGGGTGAGCCCCCTCATCCGCCCCCCTCCCCACCTCATGCCTTATGCTGAACAATACATGCTCCTTCAGACGCAACCACAACAATGCTCTCATAAGTAAGGCTGCTCCGGTGGAGGGTTGCAAGAAGTTGGGTTCCATCACTGGTAACTTTGAATTGGGATTTTTTTTTTCCTCAAGAGAAAAGAAAAGATGAATTAATTTCATTTTTTGTCCGCTCGATGAAGAGGGAAAGCTTTGGCACAAGGATCCTGAGAATTTATTAAAACTTGTGTCGGGGGGTTTGCGTAGAACATGCAAACAACTTGCAGGCAACTTCTGGTCATTTATGGTGGGAGGGTTAGGTTGGCTTAAATGGATATACTTTACTCACTTGGGCGGGGGGTTGGACTAGATGACCTCCAAGGCCCCTTCCAAATCTGTTAATCTGTAGTCTGTAAAAACCACCTCTGTGGTCATCCAAAGCCAGCCTGTTGTCTTCATATCACGGCTCCGAATATTTGGGGTGCCTTTTTCCTCAATGAGTTCTGGAACCTTGCAAGAAATCTGGGGTTTGCCTCTTGTATTAACCACGATCCCTCGAATGACGCCCTAAAATCATTTTTCTCTTTTTATTGTTATTATGCTACTTTTGAGTACATCGGGCCTTTTCAGGGCAAGGACGGAGCCTCTTCAAAAGTACACCACTTTGCATTATGGGTTGCTTTTAGCAAGTTGTTGGAGAGGAGGGGTTTTGATTTCTGCCCATTCTGGAAACATTCTAGTATTGTTGCAGCGTTTAAGCAACCACGAATTCTGACGTGTGAATTTGGGAGCCGGGTTTAATTGAGAATTTCCAAAATTCTGACTCACACTTGACTTAATCGTACCAGTTTGCAGAGCGGTCCCTGTCAGAAGTAGATCGTATAATCCGATGAAGGACAATTTAAAAAGCCTTGTGCAGATACGTTGAGACAGCTGGATCGATAATTCACGCATTAGCACCCCCACGAGACATATTTATGTCTCTTTCTCTCTCTCTCTCTCTCTCTCTTTTCCTGCGTTTTTACTCCTTTTGGTAGAACAAGTAAATAATTATCGAAGGAGCGAATCTAACCAAGCTTTGCGTGGTTTTTTTTTTTCCTCCCTCCCACACCGTTGTTTCAAAAATCTGGAACACAGGAAGGGCAGAAGGAAGGAAATTGTAGAAAATGTAGTCCTGATCCCCTCACATCCCAAAAGAACAGGCTTCCTTTGTGTTGGCTATCCCAAAAGGCGAAAGTGCGTGGCAGCTTTTAAAAGCCGTAGATGCAGCTTTTTTGGGGGAAAGGGTGCAAAGGGGGTGTTCGATAGTTTACTGTGTATATTAATTTAAACTTGCTTTGCAAATTGAAGGAGTTGTAGTCCGTGACCGACACTCGTCCTTTTAATTCTTTGCAAGGGTTTCCTTGGTTTGTTGGGGGGGGGGGGGTTAGTTAGTGGAGAAGGGAGGTTGGAAACAGAAAATCAACTCAAACCCAGATTATTATTTTTTTTTTAAAGGGGCTTTGAATTTTTAATGGCCTGCAAAGACAGAGAGTTACTTTTAAGTTTTCTGTCTGGGCCTCTGAACGCAGCTCAAATCTTCTGCTCTCTTCTTCCCTCAAATTATAGGTCAGCTTTTCCGTCAGGTGGGGACATCCAAGCCCCCTAGCCCCCAGGGTTCCCCCCCTTCCTTCCCTTCCTTTAAGGAGTCTTTTACTTAGTTAATGGGCTGCTTTCTCATCCTGCAGAGGGGAACCTGCAAGGGAAGAACCGGGGGAAGGTTTTGAATGAGGGTTGTTTTTTTTTCTTCCCCCTATTGAGGCTGGAGTGGAGTTGGGAGTTTGCAGCTGTGCCATGCCGCTGAACAATCTGAAGTGTGTTAAAACATTTTTTTTTTTTTTTGCAAAGCGGTTCTTTTCTTTTCTGGGGTCTGGAAAGGGAGCGCCAAGTGGAAGATTGGCATGAGGCTCTGTGTGTTTTTGTGTGCGTGTCTGTGTGTGTGTGAGAGAGAGAGAGAGAAAGAGAGAGAGAGAGAGAGAGAGAGAGAGAGAGAGACACCGAAGATGCAAATGCGTTAAATCGTAGCAGAAAAGAAGAGGCCTTTTTCTCCATCCCACCTCTCCTGGGGTCACTTTGTAAAGGAAGTGAAGGTGAAGATGGGGCTGTCCCAGGCAGAGATGGTGTGCGAGGCAGGCTCACGTCACGCATGTGGGAACCTGCATTTAAATGCCCTGTACACGACTGGCTTGAATGGGGAGGTAGGGAAAGGCCCTTGGTGACGACACATATGAACTCCCCGATTTCTAAAAGCACCAGATCCATCCTTACCTACGTCTTTTGTGTCCCACTTTTATTTATTTTATTTTTTTAAATAAATCACTCAAGTTTTGTCCTGGGGAAACAAATCTTAACAGTCCTTCCTCCTCCTATTTTCCCCACCACAACAACAACAACGCCATGAGGTAGATTGGACTGAGAGAGGCCCAAAGTCACCCCAGCTGGCTGTCATGCTGATGGACTAGAACTCACAGCCTCCTGGTGATCGGCCCAAAAATCACCCAGCTGGCTTTCTCGCCTAAGGCGGGACTAGAAGTCACCGTAACCTGGGGATTGGCCCAGAGACATCCAACCAGCTTTCATGCCTAAGGCAAGACTAGAACTCACCCTCTCCTGGTTTCTAATCCCGGTCCCTTCACCATTCGACCAAATTGCTAAACCCATCCTGGGCTGGGTGCTGATTAGTGCCATGGACGGCTGTGCCCAAATCGTTTCCTGATGCCCCCTGCCTTGGTTGTTGGGGGGGGGGAAAGGACAGACTGGGAGCCCAGACAAGGGGGTCTTTCTCCTGGGCACCGTGCTGACGGTCTCTTCTCCACCTTGGTGCCCCCTCTATAGCCCTGAGTTGCAATGAGAATGACGGCAGCCCCCTGGACCGAGACCAACATTACCCCAGCAATCAAAAGACCAAACGCATGAGGACTTCCTTCAAACACCACCAGCTGCGGACAATGAAATCCTATTTTGCAATTAATCACAATCCGGACGCCAAGGACTTGAAGCAGCTGGCTCAGAAAACGGGTTTAACCAAGAGGGTGCTCCAGGTAAGTGGTTTCCTTTCTTCCTTTCTTTTTTTTAGGGGCTCAAATGGAGTAAGCGGTCCTTGGCCAGAGCTGCAGGCGTACAATTCCCACCGAGCCGTGTTTTTCCAACCCTGAAGGGTGAAGATGGGTGAACTTCAACTCCCAGAATTCCACCCTCGGCTGGAGAATTCTGGGAGTTGAAGCCTCAGAGATAACGCCCAACCAAAGTTGGCTTCTGCTCTGAGACAGGGAGGGATGGATATGGGGATAGGATGGAAATATTGCCCTTGCGTTACCTCTGCCTCACCTGTCTAATGGTTGGAGGGGAAAA